AAAGTTTCTCTCTCCTTAAGCTTGTTCTCCAATGTTCTGACCGCCATCAAGCCGCTTATTCTCACCGGATAGTGACGCCCAGTGACGCATCATCCTTCAAAGTCTTGTCAAGATAAGTTTTTTACGATGAAGCTATGACGTTTGACAAATAGGCCGAGTCTGACTCAAAGGTGAGGAAAACAAATGACATAAGAATTCATTAAAGTCGGCTTATAAGGTCTGACACTAGAAGCCCTCTCCAGCCCCCCACCCTCGGTTCACAGCAGTGACAGATGAGCACGGGCGAAGGCAGCAAAATGAAAAGCTGGTCCAGAATAAATAAGTCCGAGTGAAGACAGACGGGACTGAAAAGCACAAAGAGAGACAAACAAGGTGCCGCGCTCCTTTACACCTCTGTCACTTACACAGATTTACAGTTTTAGCACCGTGTACGCTGCTGCACGCCTGCTGGAGGTGTGACAAATGATGCTGTACGACATCTCTGTGTTAAAGTCACCTGCCCACCTGTGTGTTGTGTGTGTCGGCTTTTCCTGATTTCAGTGTGTCAAAACAACAATGAACCATCTGCGTGTTTTATGTAGGAGGATGTTTGGATATCAGGAAACCTGCTGATTTACAGTTGAATTTGCTAGGAATTATAGACTGTACATAAAAGATGGACGTAGCTACCACGATGTCTCAGACTGAATAGTGCGTTCCTGTTAGCAGAGTATTTCCCCCACACTGTCTTGATGTCTTGAGGCTGGACACAGAGTGCTCATAGAATTGTGACTTAATAAAAAGATAGCTCCGCCCTAAATCGTGCCTTGTTTTATCCGTCTTTTTGGCTCTAATTGGAATCACGATTTACAAACATAACATAACTTCATATTAAATAAGACTTCAAACTAGCGACTGGGATCATGAACTCCCTAACAAAGTGTGGACAGCTCAGGTGAACTGTGGAACTTTTTCCTCGTAGATTTCTACACCGTCAGAATTACCTTTGAAATCAGAGGGATCGCCCCCTGCTGGCCATTAGAAAAAATGTAGGTTTAAGGTACTTCTGAATAAGTATCACTTCTAAGACCCAGAATGTAAACCCTTCACATACAGCTTCAGTGCTCTTGCAGTTTTAAACACAGACTGACTGATTTGCAAACGTTTCTGTGGCTAACAGAGAGAGTTCTCATCTTCAGCAGGTGCATTTCATAAGGAGGCTGTCTGGAACGTCTGTTCGTTTGTCCATCTGTCTTCCTCTCTGCCTGTCTGTCTGTCTGTGTGCGTTCTGTGTTATCTGAGTGTGAGAACTGAGTGCTGTGCTGTGCAGCCCTGGGGGAGGTGAAGCTGCATTCAGGAACCTCTATGGGTGCCACAAAGCTGCATTCATGCAGCTGAATAGCTGTTTTCTACAACCAGGCACTAGTCATCCCAACTCCATTGGAAGGGCTCTATGAGTTACCACTCTCCCTGCCTTGGTATGCAAAGCATTATGCAGCAAAAACACAAATGGCTGGATTAACAAAGGGCACACAAAGCATACTTACATGGAAACATTGAAGGGATACGTGACTCTGTAGTTTCAAAGGA